CTAACAGCCAGCTTCCCGCGAGATTACATTATGACTGTTAAATCGCATCACTTCACGGCGCGAAATCACCTTGCCAGCTTATCATTTATAGAGCCAGCTAACAGCCAGCTTCAAGCGAGATTACATTATGACTGTTATATCGCATCACTTCACGGCGCGACAGGCACCGTGCCAACTTTTCTTTTATAGAGCCAGCTAACCGTTAGCTCACCTCATGACATTTAAAKCACATCACATCGAGGCGGGAGAATTACCTAAGCACTGGCTAGACATGGTGAATACTTTTCTTTATGTATTTTTAGTTTTAATGTTTTTGGTTTAATTTTTGTGTCTGATGCAATCTTGTTAGCACATGAATAAATATTTATGTAAAAATAAGAAATATATTTTATATACTGGTCTTTATGTACTAAGTACGTATTTATTTATGTATGTACATACCTGCCGTGAAATTTCGTCGCATTATACCAGTCGCTGCAGTTGTTTTGATAGCATTTATTTGTTGTTGATGATGATGCAATTGATTGTGCAGATTGTGGTCAAGCATTGCATTTGAAGCGTCAATATCGACGGAGGCAGGACGCCCGCGTCCTGTTATCGGTATTCCATTCATATTGTGCAGTTGACTCTATAAGAAACAATAAGGTATCTACTTTAAATATATGCATAKGTGGGGCAATTAAAGAAATTTCTGCACACTAACGAACCTGTGTTGTTTGTGGTACAGGAGGTGCGCTAGATGCTCTTGGTGCCTGATTATCCGCTGCTCCGACATTCGCTCGATGCACCAACACATATTGTCCACCGCCATTACTATTTTGATGTAAATCATGTGGCTGCTGTTGTTGTTGCACGGCAGCTGCTGCTGTTAATTGTTGTTGCAAGCGTGGATTTGCCGTTACGTTGGTGTGTAGCGCGTTRGCCGTTTGTGGTGTGAAAAGATGCCTTATAAGGGTGGGCGAAGGTTTTCTTTGAACATACTTTTTACGTGGAAATCCCATACGTGGCCCAATTACCTGCATTTAATAATATAAAGAAAGTTAGTAAGAAAAAAAAGTTAAAAAGAGAAAAATAGTTAATAAGAAAAAAAGTGGTTGATAAGTAAAATAAATTAACACAATTGTTTATTGTTGTTGTAATCCCCGCTTGGATGGGAAAGTTGGGATTGGTTGTCATCGAAGTCACCTAACGGTAGGCCAAGGAAACGTGCAGTTTTGAGGGGTCGGACCAGAGAGCAAAGGCTGTTAAATGACGGTGGTTCGCTGAGCATGCAAAGAGATGGTTAGTGTCATGCAGGAACTCATTGCACACTGGATTTATATTTAGTATGTTGGGGAGGGTTCTGGATATGTCGAAGTTTTGCTAAAGTATACAGAACAAAGTTGCGCAAGGGTCACTCTAGATTGACGGATTAAGCGATTTAATGATTTTGTTGCTGCTCTGTACTTTGGCAGTTTTCACGGTCGTATGAGAGGTGAAGGAGCACAGGCTGTGGAATATAACGCCTAGAATCTCAGGGTTATTGACAGCTGAAATTTTCAGAAGCAATGTGACCTTAAGATCCAGTTTGTGCATATGATCGCTGTGGATTTAGTGSGAGCCCGAGTGTTAAGCTCCTGGCAGGGAACAAGCGGGAATAGTCGGAAAGATTACTTGAGGTCAAAGGCTTTTGATAAATCCAACGSTACGAGGATCGTAGCCTTACGAGATGGTTTTTGATTTAGTTCAAGAAATTGTTTGTTCTTTGGTGCTATGGCCAACAGTGTAAGAAAAATAGTTGAACCTTTTCATGCTTCTATTGCCAAAGRAGCCTATTTTTAAGGCGGAAAAGATTGCATTGAAATGAGCGAAAATAACTATTTTTTAGTCAGGCCGAGTCATTTTTAATCAGATGGTAGAAATACCTTATATACGCCAGGACGCCCAACGCCCATTATATTTGCAGGAATGCTTGTTAGGTCATCTTGTTTGATAAAATTTTGGGATGACGAACCGCAGGTTGCAGCTGGAGACGAGGTGGCCACCGATATAGCGGCCGTTGACGCAGCCACCGATGATGCTGGTACAGTGCCCTGTAGCGTCATTGTCGTTGCTATATTACTCTGTGCCAACTGTTGCTGTTGTTGTTGCTGCGGTTGTTGTTGATGCTGATTTAATATAGCTGATGGCGGTCGTAATTGGGCTTTTAAGTTCTCACGATTTGGACTGTTTTGTATAACGGCTTGACAAATTTGATAGCTGCGTTCTAAATTGACCGCTCCTGGTGGCAGTTTATTTACGGTTTTACGACCTTTACCGCCGGTTGGTAATTTACTCGCTGGTCGTTGCTGTGCAATTGTGGTTGGTATGCCAGCAGATGTTAGGCCTTTTATGGCATTTGTATTTGCAACGCCGACATTCGATGTGCTGACATTACTAATATTGGGCGTAGAGTTTACAATCAGTTCCGCTGTGTTGCGTGCTGAGTTCGCGATGGCGCTGCTAAAAGGCGGATACGTACTGACAGCTGACCCAGGCGGTATGGCTACAGAGGCGATGCTTGCATTTGCACCGGCAACCGTTGCCGCATTTGTGCTACGAGACATTGTTATAAGATTCATTGGCTTCGAAATATATTTTGTTGGATTGGCCTGCGCTTGTGCGGCTAATGATTGAAAGGCAGGCATAGGCGGAGGTGGTTGTTGTTGTTGTTGCTGCTGCTGTTGGTGCTGGAAGCGCTGCAACTGTTGTTGCACATGTATTTGATGTTGCTGCTGCTGCTGCTGATGTTGATTCGGGCTAGCAGTCACCATATTGCAATTAGTTGCTGCCGACACCGTAGGAACTTGGGGCTGTGTCAAAAAGTGTCTTTGCTGTGGCGCTTGTTGCTGCAGCACTAATTGTTGGCCGATATGCTGTTGAGACGTTATACCACCCGGTGACAGATAGTGTTGGCCATTTGTGCTCAACTCGATCGCTTTTCGTATTGTCGACAAGGTATGATGCGATTTTTGTGCATGTTGTTGTTGCTGCTGCTGTGTCGTTAGCGCTATAGTTGGTGTTTGCTGTTGTTGCTGCTGTTGTTGTGGCTGTGCTGCCTGAAACGTAAACTGTTGCGTGGCATGATGCAATAGTTGCTGTTGATGTTCGAGGTGTTGTTGCTGCTGCTGTTGTTGATGTTGTACAAGGAAGTTCCCTATAATTTGTCCATTCGTATCGAGAAGAATTTGCCGCTGTGGCGTGTTTTGTCTCTCTGTTGTTGGCTGTTGTGATTGCGGGTGCTGCGCTTGCTGTTGCTGCTGCTGGTGTAAATGACCGATGGTCGCCGGCGAGTGAGCGCTTAATTGTATGGTCACATTGCCAACACTATTACCATCCAGCCGACTGTTGCCACTACCACCCATATGCAATTCGTTAACGCTATCGTCGGAATTGCTGTTGGTTATAACAGTGCTGGAGACTTCCATTTCGTTAGCTGACATTCGAACATCGCAAATCATATCCGAATCCAACTGTAACAATAAAATATTGTTGGTAATTGCAATTAAAATCATGCAAGGTCATGCTATATATTTTACTTACCTCATAGTCGGAATGTTCGTAGGTTAAATGGCCACGATGTTCTTGATTTTCAGGTTCACGCAATTCTTGTTGTTCCTCTAATTGTTGTTGTTGTTGCTGCTGCTGCTGTTGCTGATCTTTAAGCAGTTGTCTATGTTGTTGTTGCAATTCGTCAACTATATCACGTACAGCATCATTATCATCAGCGTCATCATCATCGTCGTCCTCATCCTCTTCTTCCACTTCGTCATCATCTTCCGCATCCTCCGTCCGCATATCACCATCAACTTCGCCATGTTCAACACCTTTCCCGATTACACCCACAGCACGACAATTAACTATTGCCGCTTGAGCTGCAATCGTATCTTCTTCACCATGAACAGCCATACACTCGACGACTTCGTCATCTTGAGTTACATCCACGCTTGGCATAGGTGCATCTTCCACTGATAACGTATTCATATTTTTCACTTTTATAACGCCTTGATGCGTTTGTATCACACCGTTAAAACTGCTCGATGTTGCATCTGCGGACTGTTGTAATTTTATGCCGCCGAAGTTCCAATCGTGTTGCACGTGATGGAACAAATCCTCGCCACTTTTCTCGGCCAAAGACAGTATGATTTGCTGTTGTTGTTGTTGTTGCTTTTGTTCGAGTGTTAGCGGAGCGGCAAGTGGCAGTTGCGCCGCTGCTGCATACATCACATCACCACTAGTCGTCGGTGCTGAAGTCATTGAGGAGGAAGAGGACGAGGAGGCCGATGATGTGGCTACTGATGAAATACAACTGCCAATATCTTGCTTATTTTCAAAGAGATTGTCAGAAGCTTGAGTTGTTGTGCCTATGGCGGATAATATAAAACAGGGTAACGTCAAATACTAACGTAAAAACTGCTATATGGACGGTAAAGATGTAACCATGTCAAGTTAACAATATTTAATTTCTTTGCTAACACACTAATGCCATACTAAACACTAATATAATATCATATCTAGATGCAATAACAACAAACAGTAGTGAAGATTTAAGAATAATAAGTGCTCAAGTTAGAGAGCAGAACATTTAATCACATAACGTCTGATCAAAAATGTTTCGGACTGATCGATATCGATAAAAAAAAAATCCTACATTGGTACAACCTTTTTATGTTGTCAATTAGTATGTGTGTGGCAGCTCTTTGTTTATGCCTTGAATATTTTTTTTTTGCTTGTTTGAAATTTTCTTTTTCCAATGGAAATAATTTTGGGTAAAAATTGTGGGGATGAAATGTGGAAAAGTTAGAATCGTACCGAAAAAAAATCGCTAAAGACTAGCCCTGACGAGGCTTATAACAAGTGTATGGGACAATTGGATTAAGAATTATCATGCTTGCTTTGCTCTAAAAGAGCTTATTTTCAAGGTAATAGTGAACAATTGTTTTCAAATATATGAAAATGTGTTTTTGTCAGTCCGAGTCAATGTTGATCAGGGGGTATGGTAGATTTTAAATAATTACCTTGATCAACAGAATCACAGAAAATGAATTTTTTCTCCTTTATATTAGCGACATCACCGGGCGTAAGTAAAGCACTGTTTGTACCTATAAATTATAATTTATACAATTAGCTGCACACAACCAGAAATGTAATTAAATAAAAGTTAGGAATATAGCGGAAACTAATTGACGTATATTAAGTTTTAAAATCAAGAATTAAAAAAAAAACAATTATGACTACTTACCTGCACTGCTGTCTGTACTAACTTCGCCAGATTCTAAAACATAATTTTGTGCATCAGCGAACTTTTGTTCGATGAGCTCTTCATCATCGTCCTCCCCATCTTCTATTGAAATTATTGAACACCCATGCAATTGTCCGCCTTGCGTTGGGAATGATTGCAATGTTATACCGCTGGTAAGGCTYGGCGCTGGTGACACTGCCGGTAATAACGCATTCACATTCACAAACGTTGAAGTGCCCGACAAAAGTGTTGCAATACTGTTACAGGTACTATTTGCCACAGACGTAATAGCTGCTGCAAACGATGTCTCTGGGTTTTGTAGGAAATTCGGCGCTTTTATGCTAATATCGGTTATATTATTACCAGYCGCAGTCTTTTCACTTCCGACTGTGGACATCAATGTTTCCTTAAGCAGTAACGCGGCATTGGTTTGCTGCTCGAATTCTGTGTTGTAGAAATTGCTGTTATACAAAAAACTATCGTTGGTGGGCATTTTTGTTGCGGATGAACTGGTGGTCAAGCTATTACTACCACTCAATTCCTGTGAGCTGGAAGTAGCTGATGACACGGATGGCGAAAGTGTCTCTTTAAGCTCGTCTTTAATGGCATGACTAACTTCTTGTTCTATACTGGTCGCTGCGTCAGTTATATCATATTCAGGTTGTTGCTGGAGTTGCTGTTTTGTTTGGTGTTCCATTTTCATTTGCTTACTTTGTGTAAGATTTTCATACGTTATTTCAGACTCTGAACGTTTTCGTATATTGCCGCTGCTCCCACACTCGATCAGCTGTCTTTCATGTTCCAAAGCAGCAATTGCTAAAGATATTTTAGACTCTCCGACGGGCGTTTCGGTTTGTATGCCACTAGAATCGCTACGCAATAAATCAAAGGTTGACGATGAATCCGTGCAGCCAATATTATCCTATTGTATTAATTCAAACAGATAAAATAATTAGAAATTTTACAATTAATAAAAAAAAATGCAATTCTTTTAACCAACAGTACACTCACCACATCGCAATTTATATCAGTCTGTTTTTCATAATCGGTTGTAGATGATCCTGTTTGTTCTTGCTGTCTCAACTCGTCAAGTTGTAGTTCCTGCTCACTTTTTATTGAATTCACATTCGTGCTGGCAATCGATTCSTCAATAAATTCTTCGCCTTCCTCTTTAATGTCTACAGATGATGATGTTGTGTTCTCTGTACTGTCAGCACTTGTTGCTGATGTCACTGTTGTTGTCGTTGTAGAAGTTGCTGACGTTGTCGCCGCTAACGACGTTACTGTTGACGCTGTTGCCGCTGCTGATTTCGTAGATGTCTTCACAATTGTGGCAACCAGGCCACCTTTACTCTCCAATTTGAATTCTAGCCGCTCATCTATTAGATTAGTATAACTATCACTGCTTTTTCCACTACTATAACTTATATTGCTGCTATTGCTACTAGTACTACTGGCGCGATTGTAGGATTTTTCACCCCATATCGGTTCAAAATGCTTCAGTTTCCAGGGATCCAATTTATTTTTTTCTCTCTCGGCTTCGGTTTTCATTTTCATTTGATTTTCGGGCGTGAATTCACCTTCCGCTAGTCGTTCACGCCACTCCAAGCAGGCACGTGAAAAGAACTCATTGTTTAAGCTGGATGGTCCCAATTTTATAGCTTCCATGGTTACGGTGGAATCGGCATTGTTCTTGCGTTCTATTTCGATAGCCTCGCGATCTACGCTTGGTAACAACTGTATGAGGTTATACTGATATAAAGGTGGCAGCATAGAAAAGGTCTGTTTATTGAGTAAGTCTCTCAAATTGGTCGAAGCTAATATTGAGTCGGGTGTTTCGAGGTCAATTTTTCCATCCTTTGTTTGCTCGATTTGTGCAGCAGTGGAGATTTTCTTGGAAGACCGTCTACGAGGTTTCAGACTGAACCCTGGTATAGATGCTAACACCTCTCGCATAGTGGACGCTTGTGTAATGGCTGTTACGGGCGTAATTATAGCTGCGGATCCTGTAGCGGTGGCAGTCGCAGCGGCCGCAGCAGCCGCTGCTGCTGCTTTAGCTTGCTGTTGTGCACGTCGACTACTACTGGCACGACTTGAAGGGCTAGGTGTTGTGTTCTTTCCACCGGTAGCATTAATCACAGTATTCGCAGTTGCAGTTGCTGTGGACGTTGCAACGTTGCTGCTCAACGTTGTTGTCGCTGTAACTGTAACCTTTTTCTCTGGTGGTATGGGTTTAACAATGATACGAGGAACATGACGTCTGTGTGAGATGGAAAAACACATATAGATCATATTCATATATTGTGGCATATAGTCATATATGAAATGCAAATAAAATGTATAATAAAAAAATGTACCGTAAACTGTGGCTGTGCTTTGCGCTACTTGATAGCTTACTTCGCGAGCTCTGTTGTTCGATAGCAGTATCTAATGCTAGGGGATCCTTTTCCTCCTCCTCACTTAGTAGATTAACGTGTTCCGTTTTTTCTGCCATAGGATCAGCATTTATTTTCTGCCGTACAGAAGGTAAATGCGATTCCATATTCAATGAGATTTTATATTGTTGAGGTGTTGTTGGGCGATAAGTTATTGATGTACCCAATAAGGTAGTTCTCATACTCTTAGCAAATATGGGTGGATGAGGAGCTTATCCGATTATTTCTCCGGTACAACGAGATCTAGTATTAGTAATAGAAAAACAAATATTAGAAGAAATAATAATAAAACAATCGTTCTCGAATTACAGGAAGTTAAAAATATATACGTATGTATAAATATCGTTATAACCATAAATCAAATATAAAATGTGTAATTGTTTACACAATTATAACAAAGCAGTATTACTTCTTGTCATTTCATTATTTTCATAGCACTACTTTTGGGATTGATTTCTAGTTAAATTCACTGATGACATAAAATTACTGACAGGGGCAAAACATACATAGACTTATTGACAGAGATTATTTAGAAAATAAATTTATGTAAAGAAAGATATCTTACAAATTAGGAAAATACGTTCGAGCACTATAATACCGATTTCACCTCTATACATACATAATAAACGCCCTAACCATCTCTTTTAATTCGTTCATATGGATTAAATCGGTAATTTTCCCATTGAGAAATGTTGGTTAGGAGAGAAATAAAAACTTTTTATTTGTTATGCGCATATTCTTCAACACTGTAATATTAGTTTAGCACTATTTATTTACAAAAATAATAAGCTTGGCTTTTGCTTTTCATCACCTTTCTTTAGAATAAGCAAAAGTACAAATTTCTGTTTACAATATTTTTTTCTGAGCGATATTCTGGTGTTTAATCGTACATGTTTAACGAATAGTTATTTTAATAAAATGCTTATATGTACATATGTATGCACAACAAATCAGCCCTATTATGCGGGTACGCAATATACATTTATATATTAATTAAAATTCAGACTTACCTGACCTGTGGACTCATTTTGACCATTGAAAAGCCAACTTTTGTTCACAAATATGAGGMTTACAATTCCTTTGAATCGAGATTAACTCGAGTTTATATTCAAAATTGTTGCGTTTCGTTTTTTCTGCAATTTTTCTATAGCCTCTGAAGCACATTTCTTCTATAGATCTCAGATTTATCGCATCACTTTTCTTCCTACCCGTGTATAGTGGTGGATGGATAAAGTCGTGCGTCGTTTATTCGTTCCCGTTCTTTGATTTCGTTTTTCCTTTGTATCCCATTACTATTCAATTCATTTTCATCGGTTTTCCTTTTTTCGCGTTTCTTTATCTATCACTTCCCCTATTTATCAGAACGCTCTCTTCACTGTTCTTTTTTCAATTGCTGGAATGTCTTTGCAACTATTTTTTTTCATACATATTTTCATGTTTATACGGTCAAAAATTTACTGGTTATTTTAATTTTTTCTACGATTCCTTTAATCTAAAGTCTTTTAAATTTGTCACAATTAGATTTCTTTTCTTCTTCTCACGATCATTAATTCAGTTTTTCATAAAATTTGCATAAAGTAGACAGCGGAAGAATTAAAGACAAACTACAAACAAAAGCAAATTTTCCTGTTTTCATTCGTTTTGACAGACCCAGCTGACACTCATAGAACCAACTCCTTTTTTCTTATACTTATTGGCCRCACTTGCATCACTGGCCAATTCGACCCATCTCTTTCTCACACCAATGCAATGGCATAGTTATTGCATTGTAAGTTTCTGCTTTTGCATATCTTTTCACTTCTTTCGATCTACAATTAACTGCACAATATTATTACGTATAAACCTGCACATTATGCAATAAATTCTTATATAAACTATATATTCAATATTTTTCAAAATTAAAATGCTGAAATTTTAACAATTGGAGCACAATTTAACTTCATTGATGCGAAACTGACTTTTCTATGTTCATGTTCTTCTCGACTCAATACTTTTTGACAGGGTTCCTTTGCGAAAAACTTCCCGTATAGTACGTTTTGCAGCATTACTGTGAGTGAAAATGAAAATTAAAAATAATACATTTACAGAAGTACCGAATTTCGAATTTCAGAATATTTTGGAAAACCACTGTGGTGACAAAAAAAAATTTGGATAAAATTAACTGATATTAGTATTTCAATACCTTGCAGAATTAATATAAAAAGAGATTATATATAGTATATATATTAATAAACTATTATTTGCATATTTATTGACACAAATTAAATTTAAATACAACGGCTTATAGCATTTAACATATATAAGTTACACAATTTTACTGCCTTGCTGATTAGATTTTTGATTGATTTTAACGTGAGTTTGGCGCTTCTTTTCTTCTTTAAAGGCCTCCGTGTTTGCCTTCTTTTCGATCCGTCGTTCTAACCGATATTCTTTTAAAAGTCGTTTGCGTTCCCGCTTCTCTTCAGGTGTTTCATCTTTAGGTCGAAGGGATAATACACTTAAGGTAGATATTAAAGACTTGTTGCACAGTGACTTTGCACCGCYGGACGAAATCGCACCATTTTCAAGTTTTGCTAAAGCTTTCTCAGTAAGCTGATTATTATCGCCATTTCTCAAAACGTTTAACGGCATTCCCGTTTTCGGATCAATCTCAATTTTATTTGGGCCATCATTTGATTCAGCTTTACTACTCCGACGACTTCTGCGTGTGGGCTCTGCAATGAGTTTCGGGTGATTATAAATATTCGAATATGTTGAGAGCACAGATTCACAATCCCATTTTTTCTGTTTATCATCATTCATTTCTACTTCAACCAATTCCTCATTAGGATCTTCTTCACCATCAACAATGTTACGATATTTTTCAACCCGTTCACGATCCCATTCCTTTTTGTATGGTAACACTCTTTTGCCGCGTTTGTGTTCTCTGTAGCATTGCATCAAAACTCGATGCTTCTGATCCCAATCTCCTTCAATTTCTTCACAGGCTAGATCTCCTAATTCGGGATCATCATATGTAGCATAAAAATGCTCAAATCGATCATCTAACAATGATAATTGTTCGTTGCGCCTAATAACGCTTGAGGACATAGAATACTCTGTGAATCGCGATTTAGTTTCTTCATCGTTAAAACGACGTTCACGCAACAATGGTCCAAGTCGATCCATTAATTCTTGATCGTCCTCCTCATCATCACTTCCATTCAAATCGTCAGAATCAAAATCTTGATCATCATCTTCCTCCATATTAGAGGATGATTCATCTTCATTATCATCATCCTCATATTCACCTTCTTCATCATCATCTTCGCCTTCTGCCATTGCTTTCACAACAAAATCATCATCCAACAAGTTATCCTCATTATCAAAATCAAAATCTTCATCTAATGCAGCAACTACATCCGGGTCCCAATCTGGTCGTGGTCCAGAAACGGTGGCCGCTCTGTTTAACATACCTTCATCCTCTTCAAATTCAGAAGCAAATACTGAACTTGGAAATGCCAATTTTGGAGCGGTAGTTATTGCGCCTTCTTCAATTCGTTTGCGTGCATGATTTGGGTTTTCAACATACTCCCACACCACTTCTTGCTCGGGCTTCTTCAAATGTTGTAGGTAGTCATAATCATCATCAAAAAATATACCAAATTTCTGTTGTTCTTCACGGCGTTTAGTAGTATTTTCTGGGTCTGCGGTTTTAGTTTGGTTYTGCGGAGTCGCTTCCACCAACACACGTTGAGGCGCAGTATCATCGGCTACAAGAGGGTCATGTTGACTTCTGTGTACCAAATGAAAGGTCACAGCATTTTTGCGATCGATGAAAGCTTTTTTGCTCTTACCCTGTGAGATAAGAATGATTACATGAATTCAACTCCAAAAATATGATATGTTCTTACCATTGTGGCTTAATATTTTCAAATAGAGGAAATGTAGTAGCAATCTGAAGAAAAATATTTTATTACGAATTGACAGTAAAACGCATGTGTCCAGCGTGATAAAGCAAAAGGAAAGAAACGAAGAAAACAAAATGTGAAAAATATCCAAATGGCTAGAATAATAATAAACAAAGAAGAATTGAGTTACGTAGCGGGAGCTGCCAAGTGTCATTTATGAAACTATCCATAAAACTGACGGACACATTTTTAATTGTTTTAAGAAGAAAACCAACAATTAAAAAGTATTTTTCTAAAAATATAGATAATAAATTTTTTTTTTATAAAATCTTGTTTATTTGCAGCTTACATCTGCTTACCAACAATAAGGCTCAGCTACTTCCTCAAAACTGCTATAGCGATACCAAATAGTCTCAAACATGAATTTTTAGTGATATTGGTATCACTACTTTACTATTCTGAATGAAAAAGTAGTAAGAAGAAGAAAATTTATAATATTGCTTAAAGTGAAAAAATTAATTGAATAAATCATGCAAAGATCGTTTTAAAATGGAAGGAAAGGAAACTAGTGCACCTGATCCCACGGATGTGGCGACAGTAGGAAATGACAGTAATAATATAATATCTCACTAAACTGTACTTTCATGCAAAAGTATATATTGATTGTTTTTAAATGTTGACTCCTCAGAAAATTTGCAACAGCTTGTCGATAATCTACAAGAGGAGAAAAGGAAAATACAAAATGAATTTAACGCACAAAGAGCGAAAATGAAGGAACTCTATTTACAGAAGGAGACGGAACTCAATAAATGCCATGGGGATCGTAAAAAATTGCAACGGGAACTGGACGAGATGAAGTCTCAATTCGTGGTCGCGGATTTAAAGTCGGAAAATGAGTTACGTTTAAAAGAGCTTAAGGCGCAGGAAGAAATTTCGTCATTGCAGCAACTGGTGCAAGGTGCTTTAGAATTATTTATTAAATATAAAAATAAATATTAAAATTAATTTTCCTTAATTTAGATACAATTGAAGAGTCGACAATTTTAAAGGCTGAGTTAGAGCGCATGAAAGAAGAAAATAACAAGCTTTGGCAGGAAAATCGTGAGTTCCGCGATCATGTACAGCAACAACCTATAGAATCTACTAGTTTGGCACCTCAACAAATGCTAAGTCACGTAAAAAAGACTTTAAGAAAACTGGGCGGCGACTCGACGGGTAGTGTAATAGCAAACAATTTTAGTCAGCCGGAGAGTATTGATGAAAATAGCAAGTCTAAAAGTGGTAAAAAAGACTACGTAAGTATTGTAGATGTTTTAATCACAGTTAACTAAAAATGTAAATTATATTATATAACATAAATTTAGGCGCAAGAAGATGCCGAAGTTTTACGTTCAATTGTGGTGCAGTTRCAAGAGGAAATGGAAGCATTGAAGGAAAAACTACGTGAAACAGATGACAAATTAAGAAATCAAGAAAGCAGCGCATTAACTAATGCTATAKCGCATGAAAATGGAACGCGAAATGATGATATATCTATTAACAAATCCACTTCCATAGATATCAACACTATATCCTGTGATGCCTGCTTGCAATTCGAAAAACAACTTCAAGAATCGCTGGCGAAAAGCGCTGAAGATCAAAATACAATCAATGCTATGCAAAAAGCAATTGCAGCCTCCCGTGAAGACTTACAAAAGGAAGCAGCTTTGCGTAAAGACTTGGAAGATCAATGGCAAGAGCGACGTGAAGCTCACAAAACAGAAGTACAAAAATTGCGTGAGCAGGTAAAATCAAACGAAGAGCAATTGCTAGAGTTGCAGCAAAAGTTCCTCGACACTAAGGAAGAAGTCATGAGACAGCTGCAACGGGTCAGAGACGAACGCGAGCGCGTCAACAAACAACTGGAAACCTTGCAGGCAGATAACGACTTTCTTTCCGGTCGTTATTTAGCATCTTCTGAAGAAATCGAGAGCCAAGAGATTAATTTGCCCAACACAGTTGAGGAGTTACAAGAATTAATATTGCAACAGCAAAATGATCTTATACAAGCGCGAGTTAGCAGTGAATTTGAACGGAAAAAATGTGTAACCTCGCTGGATGAAATACAAATTTTGCGCGATCAATTGGAAAAAAGTAATAATGAGCGTTTGGCATACAAGAAGAAGATGCAAACCGACAACAAATCGTGGCAGTAAGTGGGCAGGCTTTAACATTTGCATGTATTTATATTTGTTTGAAATATTTAAGTTGGCCGCATATATGTTCATATTAATAAAAGTCATATATATATATTTTTTCTAAATACT